ACCAGAGTATTCTGGGAGGATAAAAGCACTGACTTGGTAATGGGCTGCCCGCAAGTCACTTTAAAAGGCTCGAACACCTACAGTTGCCTTTTCGACTATGAAGTAGTGGGCTTTCGGTGCATGCCCGAAGAGGGTATTAATGACACTGAATTCTTTAGTCTTTTTTATCTTTTCATTCAAAGCGAAGTTCCAGCGAAAAATCCTAGTGAGTAAATTGGTTCATTTTAGGGCAAAGTCGATGTGCTTCTCTTTAATCCTCCCTATGTACCAACAGAGGATGATCCTCAGAACGATCTCGTGAGTCTTTTTTTATACCTCAATCACTGGAAGTTGATTTTAAGGAACTCTAGGAACGATGCTGGGCTGGTGGACCAAGTGGTCGTGGAGCGGTTGATCGTCTACTGCCTCGGATACCTAAGCTGCTTTCCGACAAAGGCGTGTTCTATCTGGTAGCCTTGCACGCGAATGACGTACCAGCACTACTGAATTCGTGCCCTAGTCTCATCGGATCCATCGCTATGGAACGGCGATGTGGCATAGAACACCTATATATTATCAAGTATATTCGAAAAACAGCGTAGGTGCTACTTCACCTTTGGCATCGCAAAAAGATGTTCTGCAAAGCTTGCACAAAATTATGCTCAGAAGATACCTTTTGATTTAACTGGATTGGCGGCTGGAGGGCCACCGTTCGCGCGCACGCTCTCCCTATCAATCTCTAGCCCCCGAAACCCCGTCCTGCAGCTGCCAAACAGTTGAATCGAAGATGTGATGAAAGTTTTCAGTTTTGGTCACTGCGTTCTATAGCTATTGTAACTTGCTTTAAATGAAAATCCGAGCTCCAATGTTGTATATACGGAATTTCTCGTTCGTTGATCAAACATGTATACATACTCTTGGACAGCCTATATAAAGCTGAACGTCTGTTTGTGCGTTTTACGTACGTTCGAATAGAAATTTTTGTTCTCGAAATGATTTGAACCAAACATGGCACACATACACATCGGGTGGGTCAGGTGTCGTAAGCTCCTTCTCGTTATCGTTCCATCGATCGATCGATTTTTTGCAAAATTTGAGCTACAGAGCTATAGCGTGTAGATTAAACAAATTTATCGGTGTTGTCAGTCAGTTTGCGGTACACCTCCACACGAATCTGGGAGCCCATCATAAGTGAGCATGCCGATTACGAAAATGTTATTGAGAGAACCCGGCGAAGCTGGGTTTGCTGGCTGGTTTATAATAAATTACTTCAAAAGGACTAATATAAAGAAAAAACGATTTAATGTATGTTCACCTCCGTTTCGCCACTTTCCTTAGACGGAGCTTTGAGAACTAGACCCTCTCCGGGGGGTGTATGCCAAGACGGGGGGCAGGCGTTATGGAGCAAAGCCACGCCGCATTC